CAAATGTTTTTGAGGTAAAACGTACAAAGGTTGAAATGGCATCATACTATTTTGATCACAAAACTTGACAAATTTTGATACAGCTCTGTAACCCACCCCTACCAAGACAAAGATGTTGTGAAAGTTTTATGTTCAGGGCTATTAACCATGTCAAATTAACTGTTGTGTATGGTGTGAGGTAGAGGGCAAAATCCATTTTTCTGCTTCAGTTGTTTCAGCACTGTTTGTTGAAAGACTTTCCTTTCCCAACTGATTCACTTTGGTGCCTTTGTAGAAAATCATTTACCATATTTATGTCTTTTCCCATACTCTATTCATTGGTTGTTGTCCTACTGTAGCTTTACAGTAATCTTGATATCGGGTATCTTAAGACCTCCAACTTTGTACCACTGTTTCATTTCGGAATCAGCTTGTCAATTTCTACAAACAATGTTTTAAGTCATTGAGTTAAATCATTCTGAAGAGTACAGACACCTTAACACCAATAAGTGTTCTAATCCATGAATACGGTATCTCTCCGTTATTTAAATCTTCCTAAATTCTCTCAGCAGTATTTTGCAGTTTTCAATATGGAGCTCTTGTCCATCTTTTGTTAAATCTATCCCTGAGTATGCCATGTTTTTGACTTTGGATTCAAGGTTGCTATTATATAAAAATACAATGTATGTATATTGCCTTTGAAACTTGTACCTTTGCTACAATCACTTATTAGTCCTCATAGTGTGAAAATGAATTTTCTATTAGGACTTCTTGTGTACACAATCATACCATCTGTGAATAAAGCAATTTAATTTCTTCTTTTCCAATTGTTACGTTTCTTTCTCTTGCCTGGTTAAGACCTCTAATTTACAATGCTGAAGAGGCCAGAGTCAAATCCTTATCTTAGAGGAAAAGCATTCACTCTGGTCTGTCACTATTAGGTATGTTGTTAATGGTAACTTGATTGGGGGTGCACTGTATCACACTGAGGAAGTTTCCTCTGCTAGTTTGCTGGGAGGTTGGTTTTTCTTTTAAAATCACAAACAGGTGTTGCATACTGTCAACAGCTTTTTATGCATCTATTGAAGTTGATCATAGGATTTTTACCCTTTAATCTGTTAATGTGGCAAATTACACTGATTGATTTTTTGAATGTTAAATCAACGTTGCAGTCCAGGGATGAACTCTACTTGGGGACGATATATTTATCATTTTTATATATTACTAGGCGTGATTTGCTAAAGTTTGTCAGGTTTTTGCATATATATGCTGACAGCATTACGCTGGCCTCATAAAATGAGTTGGGCAATGTTACTTCCTCTATATTCTGAAAGAGTTTATGTGAGATTGGTTTTGTTTCTTCCTCAAGTATTTGAAGTGAAGAACAAAGGATAGGAAATACCACTGAGACAGCAGATTTAAACCCAAATGTAACAATAATTGCATTACATGTAAATGGACCAAGCACTCCAATTAAAGCAATTCAGTGGGGAAAGGAAGGCTATTTCAACAAGTGGAGCTAGAACAACTGGATATCCATAAGAAAAAATAAAACAGAACCTTGACCTCACATCGTGAAAAAATTCTTAATTATCAGTTAATTAATTATGGCTCACAGACCTAAATGTAAAACCTAAAGTTAGAAGGTTCTAGAAGAAAATATATGAGAAACTATAAGAGAATATCTTCATGACCTTGGGCTAAGATTTCCTAAACAGGTCACAGCAACCACTTAAGAGAAAAAAGAATCTTCTGGTCCTCTTAAGAGCTGTTAAACAAAGAAGCAAGCAACAGGTCAGGAGAAAATACACGTATCTGACAAAAGATACACTCTTCCTATCCAGAATGTACAAATAACTTCAACACCTCAACAACACAAAAAGCAAATACACCAATTTTAAAAATGGGGAAAAGACTCATCGTTTAATGCTCAGATGTACCCATTCTCTCTTCACATGTAACACAGAAATGGCCAATAAGCACATGCAAACTGTTGAACATAGTTAACAGAGAACTGCAAAATGAAACCGCAATGATGGCCACATTAGAGAGACTGACAAACCAAATCCCAAAACAGGATATATCCTGCTGGTGGGAGTGTAAAATGGTACAACCACTTTGAATAATTAAAACTTTTTAATAGAATTAAAAAAATATATAGATCTACTCCTCACTCTATGACCCAACAATTCCACTCCTAAGGATTTATCCAAGAAACATAAAAACATGACTACAGAAGTAATTGTACAAGAATGCTGATAGCAGCTTTATTCAAAATAATCTCAAATGGGAAACAACTCAAAGGCCATCAAAAGAATGCATAAACAATCGATGGTTTATTCATTCAGAGGAATATATTAAAATAAAAAGGAGCAAAGTACGGATACACTGATACATGCAATAAAATGGGTGAATTTCACAGATATAAGAAGTTCTCCAACAGGCAAAAATAATCCACGGTGACACAAATCAAAATAAAGGTAGGGGGTCAAAGATAGGGAAGAAGCAAAAGAAACTTGTATTTTGATAGGCGGCGGGTGTAAATGCTACCCCCAATTTAGAAAAAAGCACGCAAGTACAGCGCACTGTGTCTGGTTCGTAGCAGGTGCGTGGTAGGCGACCGCGCCCTAAACGATGAAAATGCGGGAAAAATGGTTACGGGTCGGACTTCGCGCGGGGTTCGCCGCCTCCCGCAGGCCAGAACTAGCCGGGACTGGAGAGCTGCACAGAAGACCTCGGGCCCCGCCCCTCTCCAAGCCCCGCCCCTTCCGCTTCAAGACGTTCACTCTGCGTCCGAAATAGGAATGTCTCAGCCCAAAGCCGAATACAGAAGAAATTGTTTCTCCGCCACAAACAAACGACCCATCGTTACACTCTTTTATCGTTTAATGCTCAGATGTACCCATTCTCGAAAATACCCAGGGTCTGCCCTCAGACACTTAAAGCAAAAAAACAAACCATCCCACGCAATGGTAGCGTCCGCCTGGTTAGCAGTCGACCGGGGTGGAGCACACCATTCAAAGAGGGGGGAGGGATTGAGGTTTGCATGAAAACGAATACCTCTTCCTTTCCAAAAGCCGTAGCTAAGTAGTCCAGGAGGGGGGGGAAAATAAAAAGTAAAGGGGGTTATCAGCCTCCCTCTGCAAGCAATAGGAACTAGTCTAAAAGACCTTTTCTCTTTCTACTTCCCTCACATAGGGTGAATAGTGGTCTGTTCCGAAAAAAGAAACCGGAAATGCTCCTGCAAGTGGCAGAAATGTAAATGTAGAGTCAAACAATAACAGGACTCCCGGGCCTCTCAGGCTGGGTTAGGTCTGCCGGGCTTCGGGGGCAAATCTCTCATTTAGCACGTCCCACTTCCACGACTGACAGTCTTTAACCGGATTTTCTCCTTCTAGCGGAGCCACGGGCCATTTGGAAAGAGCACTCCAGGAAGGACAAAGATCCGGAAGTTATGGGACCTTAGCAGCTTGGCCTTCCCGGATCACCCCGAATAACCACTTCGGAATGGAGCCCGAGGTTCCACTGGGATGCCATACGCTCTAAAATCCCGAGCCACGAATCCCCAAAGTTCCGAGATCCGAAATTCTCAGACCTTGATGCTTTGTGCGTCTTATTTCGGAATCCCCCACACCCTGGGATGGGGTGGTAATGGTTGGAAGAACGCCTTAGGCCGGCTCAAGTTTCCCCAAAGCCCCACTCCCCCGCCCAAGTGTTCAGCTTGGAGTTCGGTTGGTCCTAACATCCCCATCATCTACACTCGGGCCTCCCAACATTGCATTCCTCTGTTGGTGCCGCTAGCCAAGCTTGCATTCCCCCCCAAAATCGCTAAATCCCCAGTGCCCCGCCCCCAGCCCCCTCTATTCCCACGAGCTGAAAATACACGGAGCCGAGAGCCCGTGACTCACAGAGGACACATGAGGCTCAGTCAAGAGCTTACCCGAAGCTCAGGGGAGCGTGTCACCGTCCTGGGATGCACGCTCCGAGGCTGGACGCCAGGTGACCCCGGACCCCAGCTACTACCTGCGGCCAGGATGGTAGCTCTGGACTTTTGAAGAGCTCAAAACTTTTAGCGCCAGTCCGGAGCACGTGGGAGGGGAAAATCCCAATCCCAGCAACCCTCGCGAGGCTCCTGGCACAAAGCTGGACAGTCGCCATGACAAGTAAGGGCAAGCAATTCCCCTGCGGGCGGAGGCGATGGGAACTGAGATTAGGAGAGGAGGTTGCGGGGAGAGTCAGGATTCTAGCAGTATTGGTACTGTAGCTACTGAGAATTTGGGGTGGGGAAGTTCGACGAGCCAGAGCCGTGAGGGCACAATTGGTGGAAACCATTTTGGTAGAATTCTGCCACTGTGTCAAATATGAAGGTGAAAGGAAGAAAGCCTTTGCACTTGTCATTCCCTCTGCCTGGAAAACTCCTCTTCCTAAATAGCTGGATAGTTTGTACTCAACAGCTAAAATGTCACAGCCCCTATCACTTTCTGAAATGATTTGTTCCTTGCCTTGAATACACAGCAACCTAAGCCTTAGGAGGGCAGAGACCTTGTCTACTATCTTATTCATTGTTGTATTTCCCAGTGCCTAGTACAGTACTGGGTAGCAAGTAATAGTTCAGTAATAAATATTTATTGAATGAATGAAAAGAGACGGAGGTCTGAAGAATTTAGCGAATGAGATGCAAAAGAGGCTTAAAACCTGTAAAATCAAACATAGCGCTATCGCCCTCTGCAGGTGGGGGAGAGGAGTAGGTGCTTTAAGAATGATCGCGGAAGACCGCAGGGGGAGCTCAGGCACTTCTCGCCGAGGCAGAAGCCTTTGGACTACAACTCCCAGCAGCCACTAGGAGCCCCAGGGCTTGATGGGAACATAACCCGTGACCTGTTACGTCCCTGCCCTGTCCCTCCGTGGGTCGCCCGCGAAGTCTGATCCGGGATGTGGAGGTCCAATGGAAAGGTGTGCCCAAATCCCGCGAGAAGAGGTGGCTCGTAGCGACCGAGCAGGCTGAAGAGCGCCGTGCTTTCTAACGTTGCTGTTCCGCGGTTCTCCTGGCCTTCTGCCCCCTCCCGGGGGAAGAAGGAAGGCACTGGTGGGTTTCTCCAGTTCTGCATCCCGATCCGTGCGAACTTTGAAGCGGTCTTGGCCGTTCCGCGGGCCCGGCAGCTGGTAGCCGGCGGGAAGAGAACTGCTTGGCCGCGGCCAATGTCTGCCGCGCTTCCTCTGCAGTATGAAGACACCGGAGGCGCCACTGTTAGCTCCGGACTGCTTTCCTTCAGACCGGGCCCCAGCTCCAGCCCCTCTCTCTCCTCAGGCTTCCCCGATGGATAAAAATACGGACCCTGAACTGATGCCACTGACACCCGATGGCGATGATCCGCCCCGGGTGTCCCCAGATCCCATGGCTGTCTCAGCTGTGTCCCAGGAGCTGGAGGAGGGGGACCCAGCTTCTCTCTCCATTCCCCTGGAAACAGGGTTTGGTATTCCTAGTGAGTTGAGCCCTCGAGTCGAAGAGCAAGAACTTTCTGAAAATGTGAGCCTTCCTGCAGAAAAAACGAACAGGCCAGAGTTGGGGCCCGGAGAAGACGTGGAAGGTGTGTCTGAGGAACCCACTCCAGAGGATGAGGGATACACGTAAGTGGTGATAGCAGGTGGCTCAGGAATCTGTGGAGATTGGAAGTGTGAGATATATCTTATCCGCCAGTCCTCAGCCCCACTTCTCCAGGCCCATTTCCACTTTGCTTTGGTGAACCCAGGTTTGTTGTTCCCCCATCTTCCTTCCAGCGTCTGGAGCTACAGCTTCTCCCAGGTACCTCGGTTTCTCAGCGGTTCCTGGTCAGAGTTCAGCACCCAACCTGAGAACTTCTTGAAAGGCTGTAAGTGGTAAGTAAGCATAATGGGGCAGGGAGATAATCACGCTCAGGATTTCCACCTTAAAATACCCCAGTTATCTGGGAGAAGGATCCACCATGGTGGGAGAAGGAATAAGAATTCCTCTGGATTGAGTTTGAATTTCATTTGTGGGCTTCCCTGGTGGCGCAGTGGTTGAGAGTCCGCCTGCCGATGCAGGGGACACGGGTTCGTGCCCTGGTCCGGGAAGATCGCACATGCCGCGGAGCGGCTGGACCCGTGAGCCATGGCCGCTGAGCCTGCACGTCCGGAGCCTGTGCTCTGCAACGGGAGAGGCCACAACAGTGAGAGGCCCCCGTACCACAAAAAAAAAAAAAAAAATTTCATTTGTGATTGTGTGTCTTCTACTTCCTCAAGGTCTTGGGGGTGCTTACCTATATCAGAGGTCAGCTCAGCCCTAGTCCTACATGTGGAAAATACAGGTCCCTTGTATAGAAATCCAGCTTTCTAACTCTTTCCTACTCCTAGGGCCCCTGATGGTTCCTGCATCTTGACCAATAGTGCTGATAACATCCTGCGGATTTACAACCTGCCCCCAGAGCTGTACAATGAGGGGGAGCAGCTGGAATATGCAGAAATGGTAAGGGTAGGAGCTAACTCTGCCCCTTCATCAGACACTGCGCATTTAATTCCTTCCTGTAGATGGAGAAAGTACAGTCCACATGTTTCCTGTTCACAGGCAGGACATCTCACCATGAGGTTCCACAGGTAGCATTTTCTACCCTGAATTCTGAAGTCATTTAAAGAGGTGTTTGTCCTTCTTTAGTTAAGAATATGTGTTTTCCATAAAAGACTAGTGGATTTCTCACGGTGGTTTTTTTTTTTTTTTTTTTCTCACAGTGGTTTTTAATTGACTTATAGGTATTTATTGAATGACTACCAGTGTGTCACTTACTGTGTTTGGTGTTGGGATAAAGTAATGAATGTGACAGATGAAGAGCTGCTTTGCTTTCTTGTATGGGACATAGACAACAAACGTAGTCCAATAAATAATCAAGTTCATTACAGATCATAATAAATGCTACGAAGGAAATCAACAGAATGAGGAGAGACTAACTAGAGGATGCCGCTTTAGATAAAACGGTCGGTCAGGGAGGGGCTCTCTGAAAAAGAGACATTTGAGCTGAGACCTGAAGGATGATGAGATCAGTCATGTGAAGAGCTGTAGAAAGAGCGTTCTAGGAAGAGGCAAAGATGCTACAAAGACCCAGAGCTGGGGAAGAGCTTTGTGTATTCAAGGAACAGAAAGAAAGCCAGTGTGCCTGGACCAAGGCCAGTGAGGGGGAAAGCCTGGTGAGGGTGGAGAGGTGGCTAGCAGCCACATCTTGTCAGATCTTGTGGGTAGGGCATTTGGAGTGTTTTTGGGGAAGCCGTGGGAGAGATTTTAAAAGAGAAGAACAAAATGACGGCTAGAGAATAGATTGTGAGTGGGCAAGAGTGGAGACTCATTAGGAGGCATTTATCAGGGTCCAGGCGAGAAATGATGTTGGCTTGTGCTAGGGTGATACCAGGTGAGATAGATGTGGGTGGATTTGAAGTACATTTCACAGGACTTGGAAGTCAATTGGGTGGATGGGGGTACAGTTTACTCAGAGGATATGAAGAGGTATTGGGACAGAAGTCAAGGGTTTTTAGGTACTTTATTTTTTTTATTTTTAAAAAATAACTTTATTATAAATAAATAAATAAATTTATTTATTTATTTATTTTTGGCTGTGTTGGGTCTTCGTTGCTGTGCACGGGCTTTTCTCTAGTTGTGGTGAGCGAGGGCTACTCTTCATTGTGGTGGCTTCTCTTGTTGTGGAGCACAGGCTCTAGGCACACAGGCTTCAGTAGTTGTGGCAAGTGGGCTCAGTAGTTGTGGCTCGCGGGCTCTAGAGCGCAGGCTCAGTAGTTTTGGCTCATGGGCTTAGTTGCTCCGCGGCATGTGCAATCTTCCCAGACCAGGGCTCAAACCCGTGTCTCCTGCACTGGCAGGCGGATTCTTAACCACTGCGCCACCAGGGAAATCTGGGCTTTTAGATACTTTAAATGTGAAATGTAAAGCTAAGGAGAGACTTTGCGAAGGGCGCTAGGGATATACTTTGGAAGCGGGAGAGCATGTCGATGGTATCTTGTGTCTTGAGAACGGAGTCAATCTCAAGAGAGAGTGTAGATGAAGAAGAAGGCTCAAGCAGAGCCTGGAACACTCCAGCACATGGAGGTGGGTGCAGGAGAAATTATAAAAGTGGAGGCAAAGAGTCATGTCTCATGCTGTTAAGAGTGAGGGCAAATTTAGAGAATGACCCAAGAAGACATAGTGACCTTGACGAGAGCACTTTCAGAGAAGTGCTGGAGGTAGAAGGTAATTAGGGTAGGAGGAAGAGAGAATTCTTTGGAAGTGTTTTCCTGTGAAAGGGAGCTGAGAAATGGAATGGTGACCGGAGGGAATGTGGGGCTAAAGAAAGGTGAACAAGATGCTTCTGTGAGGTCAGAATTACCCTGCAAGAGAGGGAGGAATTGCTGCTGTTGTCGGGGATGGTGACGAAGTCCCTGCGTGGCTGGGTGAAGACAGGATCCAGAGCACATTGAAGGACTAGACTGACAGGCGCAGAACCCTTCCTTGCCATGGGAAGAAAGGCAGAGGATGCGTTCAGAGGCAGCTGTTTGGTCGTGGGAAGATTTGGGTGTCTCTGTCTCTTGGCTTCTCAGTGAAGCATAAAGGGGATGTTATCAGCTGAAAGCAGAGTGTTGTGGGGAGAGAGCAGAAGGTGTGAGATGATCGGTCCTGGGGAGAAGAAAATCAAAACCACCAAGGAATGCTTGGTGTAGAGTAGCATTGCTATTCTTTGCTCAGTGCCCACTAGAAATTTGTTGTCAACCATGTAAAGTGAGACCAGTTAGCATGGTTGTGCATCTTTCCCCAGTAAGTTGACTGTAGTTTCTTTGTTTGTAAAATGAGGATGATAATAATAGCACCCACCTCATAGAGTTGTGGCGAGGATTAAAAGAATTAGGGTAGGACTTCCCTGGCGGTCCAGTGTTTCAGATTCCATGCTTCCACTGCATGAGGCACGGGTTGGGTCCCTGGTGGGGGAACTAATATCCTGCACGCTGTGTGGCACAGCCAAAAAAAAAAAAAAAGAATTAGGGTAAAGTGCTTAAAGTATTGCCTGGCATGTAGTCAGTGTTCAGTACATGCTAGTAGTCCTTGGTGTTAGTTGGATGCAAGCATGGACTAGAAGGAATAGGAGGTCTGGCTGGGGTTTGCCAGGAGAGAAAGACAAGGGGTGTTTCGAGAGTGTCTGCAGGGATACTTCGAGAGTGTCTGCAGGGGTACACCTGTTGTGCTTGACCAGAGTGTAAAGTGGGTAAGAAAATGGATTGTGAATGGGTTTCTGATGAAGCTGAACAATTGTGGTGGAAATGGCAGAGCAAGGGAGCTGGGTGGGTTGGAGATGGTGGTCAGAGATTGTAGTGATGACTCGACTGGGAGTGGGCCCCTGGTGTAGAGTGAGGGCCACGGCCGTGGGTGCTAAGGAAGTCAAGGAATGGCAGAGGCCAGGGTGTTGGGTGTTTTTATTCATTCTTTCATTGATTCATTCATTCAACAAGTTTTCATTGAGCGCATTCTATGTGCCAGGCTTGTTTTTAGCTGCTAGGGGTCAGTCAGGAACAAAACAGACAAAAGTCTGTGTCTTTGTGAAGCTTCTATTCTAGTGTGAGAAACAGGCAATAAAGAAATAACACAGTGAAATATATATCTGACAATTACCACGGAGAACGATAAAGCAGAGAGGAGGACTGGGGGAATTCATTGCAATTTTAAAAAGGGAGGTTGGGGGCATTCCCTGGCAGTCCAGTGGTTAGGATTTGGTGCTTTCACTGCCATGGCCCCGGGTTCAATCCCTGGTCTGGGAACTAAGATCCTGCAAACCGTGCGGTGCAGCCAAAAATAAAAATAAAAAGGGCGGTCGGAGAAGCCTTCACTATTCAGGTGCCATTTGAGCAGAGATCTGAGGGAGTCAGGGAGTGAACCAACGTGATATTTTGGGGAAGAATATGCTGGGCAGAGAGAACTGCAAGCTCAAAGTCCTGGTGGAAGTGCACGTCACCGAGAGTAACAGTATTTGTGGGGAGCGAGAGACTGAACCAGGAGATGAAAGTCTCAGTGAATGAGGGAGGGAAACAAAAACAGGGAGCTAATGTGATGGCAGGAACTGCAGAGGAGGTGGAGTTTGGAGGGGTGAAAAGATTTGGAAATGACCTTGATGTTTGTACTGAGGAGGAGGGTGAGAATGAAAGACATTTCAGCCTGAGAAAGCCACAGCATCGGGCAGGTCCAGGTGGGTGGACAGGGCATTCCGAGAAGATGCAAGATAAGGGAGTTTGAAGATTCTAGAGTGGGAATTTCAGAGGCCAAGGGGTAAGGATTTGGGGGGCAGGGAGGAGTGTGGGATTGGGGCCGATCAGGGAATGTGTTGAGCAGCGAGCAGGTGGTGGTGAGACCAGATGGCCCGGAAGCCTGGGACTTCTTTGGGGCCTGAGGTTCGTGGGAGTGCCGGGCCTTGATGGTGAAAGAAGGGTGCGTTCCGGGGACGGTCCTGAACGCCTGCCTAACCTGCATCTCTGTGAGATCGGAGGCTGCAGACATGTGAATTCTGTGTGCAAGCTGTAAGGCACGCCTAGCCCTGGTTCCTGGAACAGAAACCAGTGGTGTCCAGAAACCAGGGCTGGGTGGGCGTGGCACAGCCAGCCTGAAAGAGTTCTGGAGTAGGGGTAGTTAGAGGAGACTGGAAATGTGAGAGGTCAAATATTTATTGTACACATTCACTTGAGAAAAATGAGAATGTTAAAAAGGGAAAAAGGTGGGAATTCCCTGGCGGTCCAGTGGTTACGGTTCGGTGCTCTCATTGCCAAGGGCCCAGGTTCAGTCCCTGGTGAGGGAGCTAAGATCCCACAGGCTGCGTGGTGTGGCTGAAAAAAAAAGGGAAAAAAGGCATTGTTACCTACCACTCTACAAGATTCAGCCCTTTAAGTTTTTCTACATTCTTTCCAAGCTCTGTCCAGGCACTGGAGCTCTCTCTGTGGTTGTAACTCTTTGGTAGATGGTTTTGTACACTGTTTTTTCTTTTAACAATCATATCGTAAATGTTTTTCACGGTGTTCCAGTGTTCATAGTTATGCTTAATGGTGTATGGTATTTCACTGACTGCCTATGATAGTTTTCTTACCTGTTCACCTGTTTTGGACTTTTGGGTTGTTTCCAGGATTTTTATATCATAAATTATTTTTCAGTGAACATCTCCATGTGTTTTGATGGAGATTCTTCAGAGAATCAGAGAAATTTTACAAGTAAGAAACACCCCAGGTCAGAGAGAATCAATATCTCTTTTTTAAGTCTTGTGATACAGATAGTCAATTTGTTTTCGAAAGCTTTTTGTGCTGCTTATTCTTTTTATTATTATTATTATTGCTGTTGGCAATATGAGTGTACCAATTCTATCATAGCCTAAATACCTAAATACTCATTAGGCATTTTCATTTTTAATGTCTGCAAGTTTAGTATGGAAATGGACAACATTTGTATAGGTGGGGAAATTGGGGTAGGATATTTTGGGGTATTTTCGTACATCTGTGTACTGCTTCTTCCCACCATAGTTTCCCAATTCCTCCCCTCCCTTCTCCACCTTTTCACAGAGCTTTCTGGAACTCCTGTTTCTAACTCTCCACTTCTTCGCTGAGTACTCTCTGTACCCCGTGGCTCTTGCCTGAGGCTTTCGCTTTCCTGTACCCTCTCTGGGAGGGACTGTGCATCCTCTGTGCCCCACATATCTCAGGTTGGAGAGGGAGTGTCCTCATTCCTAAATGCTATATCCAGACAATTGCTCTTTCACTTTGTAAAAACTTTTCTTTGACGCTTATGCTGTCTGATTCTCCCCAACTCACCGAGGACATTGGCATCTCATAGCCTTCCTGTGCACCCCAAGTCCTTCCACCATCTTGGTGACCTCAGGTATCCAAACCAGAAGCCAGGGTCTCCTCCTTTAATCTTCCTTTTCCCTAACCCCCATGTCCAGTTAATTACCAAATCCCATCAAGTTCTTGTGATCTTCCTAATCTATCCACTTCACTTGACTGCCTCTGTTTTAATTCAAGTTGCTATTATTTTGGGCCTTATGTTATTGGAACGGTCTTCTGTTTCCTTTTCCCATTAAAACATTTGACTGCTGATTGTACACTAGGTGTTGGGGAAACAGTGGTGAGCAAGACAGACGTGATTCCTGCCTTCTCAGATGGGTACACTGTAGCGTGGAGGGCACAGAGGGCTCTTGGAACGTGGAGCGGGGCACCTGGCTCAGCTCGAGGGGTTGGGGAGGCTTCCCAGTGGAGGAAGTGTCTAAGAGACCCAAAGGATGATTAGGATTCAACCAGGAAGAGTCGCTGGGGGAAGTGAAGGAAGACTATTCCAGACTTGGAGACTAGTGTGTGTGAAAGCGTGCAGTTCAGGAGTGTAGGGAGTTGGCACCTTCTAGGAACTGAGAGTCAGGATGATGGGACGTGGAGCTATTACAAGAGTGAATACAGGGATGAGGGATGAGCCTGGAAAGGTGGGTATGGCGTAGACGCCTGGTAAGGGAAGGCTTCATAGGAGATTGGGTTTTATACCGAGGGTTTTGGGGAGGCATTGCAATGTTTTAAGCAGGAGAGTGATGCTGTACAGGATTCCAGGGGCCTCAGTGTGGCTGCAGGGTGGAGAATGGAGGGGCAGATTGGAGTGTGGGGTGCAGGGAGGCTGGGGGAACGTGTAGAAATGCTAGCAAGAAGGCAGTGGCTTCACGTGGGATTGAAGGCAAGGGGACAGGTTCAGGCGAACCTAGGAGGTGCAGTTGGCAAGCTCTGGCCTTGGGTTGGACCAGGAGAGGAAAGGGAGTGAAGGGTAGTAGTAGTCAAGGTGCTCACATTTCAGGCTTGAGAACTGGGTGGGGAGCCCAGGAGGAGCAGCAGGTTCACAGGCTGCAGAGGCTGGGTCTGTTCCAGAGAAACTGAGTTTGAGGACCCCGTGGGATGCCCCAGTGGAGCTTTCCACCAGGCAGTCGGATGCAAGGGTTCAGGGTGGAGAAGTGGACCCTGCATTCACGGCTGGGTGACATCACCCAGGGGCCAAAGGGGTGACGTCACCCCGCCAAAGGACTGGTATCCAACTGATGTAAAGATTTCCTTCAAGTCAGTAAGAAGAAAGCAACAACCTAGGAGAAAACTGAGCAAAAACTAGGAAAAGGTGCCCTTAAACACAAAAATGTCTAACTTCACTGGTTAGATATTGAGAAACGCCAGTTTATATCGTAATGAAATACCATTTCACAGCCTTCAAATTGAGAAAAATTTGAAAGTCTGACAACACCAAGGGGATGCAGAGCAACAGGCGCTCGTACACGCTGCTGGGGGGAGAGTAAATTTGGATGAGCACTTTGGGAAAAACGTGACATGATCTAGTAGAGCTGGCAGAGCGCAGACTGTAGAACCCCAGTGATTCCCTCTTTAGCAGAAACTGCAGAGAAGCCCTCCCACACGGGTACCAGAATGTTACAGCACACTAGCCAGAAATTGGGAAAACACCAGTGACTGTCAGTGGAGAGGGATGGGTGAGTGGAGCACTGTACAGCAGGGAAGATGCATGAATTTGAGCCCAGTGTGTCACCGTAATCTCACAATTGCGGTGGGATGCATACAGCTCGCTACCTTTCATATTAAGTTTAACAGCACACAAGACCATGGTATATATTGTTTTTTTCTCTGTCTGAATGTATTCCTAAAGAAATACACGAGAGTGATAAATTCAGGATGGTGTTTACCTCTGAGGGAGGGTTTCACTGGGAAGAGGTTTTAACCGTTTGGTAAAATATTTTGCTTCTTAAGCTACGTGGAGAACTCACAGGGTTTGTTTGGCTTTGTTTTAATACTTCTTTGCTTGTTTGAACTGTTCAGTAATTTTTTTTAGAGGATCAAATGGCGCCTGGTAGGCACTCGGTAGATATTTGTATCATTGGTTGGTTCTTTGTTTCTGGGTTGGGATATTACTTGTTTCTTCCTCTCTAAGTGTTGAAAAAGCAAAAGGGTAAATCTGCATGGCTTTTGGTGGCCCAAGTCTGATGTTAAAGTCTGAGCTAAACCTTGAACTTTGAGATCAAGATCCTGTTCTTCAGGATCTGCCTTCTGCCTTCTCCTACCTGGTTAAGTGCCCACAGAGCATCTCCCTCTGCCATAAAACTGCTAGATTTCCGAGTGGGCCTCCTTTTCCCGCCAGTGACCCAGGCATCCCCGCATCTCTGTCCAGGCTCCCGTCCTTCGAATGGTGGAAGGCGACACCATCTATGATTACTGCTGGTATTCTCTGATGTCTTCAGCCCAACCAGACACCTCCTAGTAAGTGATGTCTTTCGCCTCCCCTCCCCGCCGCCCCCATTTCAAGGGGACCCTCCACTGAGAGAGTCAGGGGTCTCAGGAGGAGGAAAGCTTGCTGTGCCCTTCAGATGTGAGCTGAGAGGGCCGGTCAGTTGGCTTCCTCCCCTTCCTTTGACAGCACTGGGGCCTCAGTGTCCGTGTCTCTCTCAGCGTGGCCAGCAGCAGCCGGGAGAACCCGATTCACATCTGGGATGCCTTCACTGGAGAGCTCCGGGCTTCCTTTCGCTCCTACAACCACCTGGTAGGGACCTCCCCGCCCAGTCCCAGGGCTCGTCCTGGCCCAGCTCTCCTTCCTTGAGAATGGCTGAGGCTCTTTGCTAGGCCTATTTCCAGCCCTTTCCCACCCCCAGGACGAGCTGACGGCAGCCCACTCACTCTGCTTCTCCCCGGATGGCTCCCAGCTCTTCTGTGGCTTCAACCGGACCGTGCGTATCTTCTCCACGTCCCGGCCCGGCCGCGACTGTGAGGTCCGAGCCACGTTTGGTAAGCAGTCCACGCCTCTGAGGGAGGAGGAGAGAAAAGGGCCCAGCCACGTGCAGAGGGGCCTTGTGTGAGCCAGGGGGTCACGTGCAGGGTTGAGGCGGGGGTCACATCATCCTCAGTACAGACCTGTGGGGCAGGTTGGGCCCAGTGCGCAGGGAAGAAAACAGACTCAGGGAGGCGACGAAACTTTACCTCTGGGTAAAGAGCTGGTTCGCTTTTGAGCCCCGTGCCCTGTACCTTTTGATCTCCAAAATCTTGGTATCTCCAGGAAACTGGAGGTAAAGCTGATTCCCTTTTCCTATAAGCCTTCTGCTTTCCAGCCCTTCAAGGAAAAACAGGTTTGAGAGGGAAGAAGTGGGGCTTTGCAGGGGATAGAAGGATCTAGGGAGCATCAGAGGTCTTCATCCTGCTTAAAACGAACGGGGTGGGGGAGGCACTGAGTCCAGCACATGGGCTCTGGGACGGGAGACAGAGGTGCACCTCTGATTAGCGTGGTTAATGCCAGGTGCTCTTGCCCTCTCCCCGACTTTGTTCCTTCCCTTTCTAGCAAAAAAGCAGGGCCAGAGCGGCATCATCTCCTGCATAGCCTTCAGTCCAACCCAGCCCCTCTATGCCTGTGGCTCCTACGGGCGCTCCCTGGGTCTGTACACCTGGGACGATGGCTCCCCTCTTGCCTTGCTGGGAGGGCACCAAGGGGGCATCACCCACCTCTGTTTCCACCCCGATGGGAATCGCTTCTTTTCAGGAGCCCGTAAGGTAGGGATCATGTTCTGAGATCCCAAAGCAGGGGGGTAAAAGGCAGGAGTGGGGATGTAGTCTGTGCTGTGTTGGGAGATGGGCATGGGAAAAAAAAAATCAACCCAGCTAAAGGAGTGCTTATAAAACTGGAGGGAAGCAGGCATGTGTTGGGAGTGGGGGAGTGGAGGGTGGAAACGATTCTAGGCTCCTGTTCTTTGTCCTTAGGATGCTGAGCTTCTGTGCTGGGATCTCCGGCAGCCTGGGCGTCCACTGTGGTCCCTGAGTCGTGAAGTGACCACCAATCAGCGCATCTACTTTGATCTGGACCCGTGAGTGACTGTGGGCCCTTCCTGCCCAGGGTCTTGATGCCCCCAGGGATGCCAGAGCCCACCTGTAGGGTCCCAGCCCCTGACCGTGCAGGGTTCCTGCCCCCAGTGATGCCTGCATGCCAGCAAGCCTCTCCTCTCTTCCCCAGGAGCGGGCAATTCCTAGTGAGCGGCAGCACAAGCGGGGCTGTCTCCGTGTGGGACACCGGTGCGGCTGGGCACGAGGGGAGGCCGGAGCCAGTGCTGAGCTTCCTGCCCCAGAAGGACTGCACCAATGGAGTGAGGTCATAAGTTAATTCTGCAGATTTGGGGGCTTGGGTTGGGGAGAAAGGTAAATCCCTGAGGGAGCAAGCATCCTGGCTCATGGTGCTGACTGGCGCCGCCCATCTCTCCCTACAGCCTGCACCCTAGCCTGCCTCTGCTGGCCACTGGCTCCGGTCAGCGTGCGTTTCCGGAGCCCACGGAGAGTGGGGACGAGGGGGAGGAGGAGGTGGACCTTCCCCTGCTCTCCATGCGCAACGTCCACCTTGAATGTCAGCTTCAGCTCTGGTGGTGTGGGGGCGGCCCGGATACCAGTGTCCCTGATGCTCACCAGGACGAGAAGGGACAGGGAGGGACAGAGGGAGGTGGGCGTGAGTTTATATAAAAAGGTTTTATATGGTATTAGAGTCTTTGTGTCTCTATGGGGAGGCAGATGATGGAGCTGGGGCCGGGAGGGGTACCAGCGGGCTCCCTGGTCCAGCAGCACTGGGGACTGGCATATTGTTCCTGAAACCAGGCTTGAGAGGTGGGACTAGGCGGGAACCAATGGGGCTGCTGAGCTTGGTGTGAAGTCAAGTAAGTGGGGGGTGGGGCTTCATGCCATTGACTGGCTGGTTGCTAGGCAACTTGGTAAACTGAAGGGGGGAACCTGTTTGAAATCTCACTCCCAAGGTGGGGGCAGCAGGGGTCAGGTGAGTGTGGCTGAGCAGGAGTGGCAGGAGCTGTGTGTCAGACTGTTGCGTGTGACTGTGTGAGACTGTGCAGATGGTGACAGACAAGACACCCGCTCACTCCCGCTCAACACTATTTACCATCATCCAGCAGCAGAGGGACCATTAGTCAGCTCTGGGGGAAGGGGAGCAGGAGGACCGCCTCCCCCCCCCCCGGACTCCCCCAGGAGGCAGGTGACTGAGTAGCCAGAGTCAAGGGCACACATGAAAGAGTAAAGGTGCCGAAAAACACACATGTCACATTCTGTATTCCCGTTAGATGCAGGACAAGGGCGAGAGTCATTCAGTAGCTGTTGCTGGTCTGGTTTCTTCATTTATCAGCTCTGTCTTTTTGGGGGGTATGTTATTTCAAGCAGTGGCTCCCCCCTCCCCCCACCTTGCCACACACTGAGAAGGGGGTCTCTGAAGAGATACTGTCAGCAGAGGATTTGATTCTGGACCTCACAGCCTAAGGGAAGGTCCTGGAGGCCTGTGACAACTAGAGAGGGGAGAGGAATGTCACCTCTGCCCAGAGGTGCTGAAAGCCAGGGTTCTTACACCCAAAAAGGCAAATCCTCCTCCCTTCCCCCAGGATAATTGGAAACAGCCCTTCCGGCTGCATGCGGGTTTTGGGTTGTAGGTTCTCCCTATCTCCCGGCCCCATTTCTCCCCACAACCATCTAAGAAGGGCCCAAGTTTACCCCCGAATCTCTTGCCTTTCGTCAACCTCCAGATAGCAGTAGAGGGTCTAGGAGGCTGTGACAAAAGAGACCCCAGGAGTGGGAGTTCAGCAGCCTGGGTCTGGTTTCGGCTTTATCCCAGATTCCTCGTGTGACCTTGGGCAAGTCACGGGGCCTCTCTGAGCCTCAGTTTCTTCATCACTGCCACGGGGATCCTTAAGCCCTGCCCTTCCCACTTCACACAGGTAGTCGAGAAGGTCAACTCAGCCCACTTTGTAAAGTGCGGAGCCTTCAAGGTTATTATTATTCTCTCCAGACCTCCCCGGAGCAGCGGTGTTGTTTTGGGATGGGGGAGGAGGGGGCTGCGGGAGCGAAAGGGGCTGGGTTCCTCGGGGTGGAGAGGGCGAGAGCCTTTCTGGATTTGAGGGAGCGGAAGATTCCAACCGCTCGGGCGATCCGAGGGCAGGAGGGGAGGTGGGCAGAAACTAAGCCAGAGCCGGAGAGTTGCAGAGACAAAGGGGGCGTGAGAGACCGCGCGGGGGAGTGAGGCGGGGCGGCGGGGTGAGGGCTGGGAGGTGCGCGAGGTGAGGGAGGTGTGGGGGGCGTGGGCTGCATGATCGCCCGCTCCGACTCGGGCTCCAGCTCCGGTTTTTCCCTCCGCCATCCTCTCCCCCTCCCCGCCTCTCCTTTAACTCCCCCCTCCTGGGCTCAGGACTGGTTGGTTTCCTCCCTTAGCCCGCTGCCCTCAATCCCGGCGAGGCTGGGGCTCCGGCTCGGCGCCCCCTTCCCCGCTCCCTAGCCCGGCGCCCCATGCCGCCCCCGCCCGGTCCCCGGCTCCCCCAGTCCCCCACTTAGGCCCGCTCATAAATACCGGGGTGCCGGCGCGTGGGCCGGGGGCGCAGGGCGCCTGCAGACGGCCCCTGGAAGGGCTTCTGCGGGCGGAGCGCTCCGGAGAGGGGACGCGGGTGGAGCAGGAAGCGGGTCCGCGTGGGAGCGGGGGGCATCAGCCACCCGGGTGGCCGGGGCAGAATAGCCCGGGCGGCCAAGGCAGTCACCCCAGGGGGTGAGCGACTTTGGGGGAGTTGGTGCCCCGCCCCCCAGGCCTTGGCGGGGTCATGGGGGCCCCCCATTCTGGGCCGGGGGGCGTGCGAGTCGGGGCCCTGCTGCTGCTCGGTTTTTTGGGACTGGTGTCTGGGCTCAGCCTGGAGCCCGTCTACTGGAATTCGGCGAATAAGAGGTGAGCGGCCCGGGGGTGGGGATACCCCACACCCTGTGGGCAGGGAGTCTGGAAGCCTTAGGGACTTTGGGGGCTGGGTTCTCGGAGCTGGGAGGAGGCGGAGGGAGGGTGCTGGTGATCGGATGTGAGCTGATGGGCAACCAGACAGAGGTGGTCTTGGGAGCCAGACTCGCGGGTCACGCACAGAGCTGGATGCGGGTGGTGACAACCATGTGTCAGGAGTTTGAAAGACCCCCAAGGGGCAAGGATTCGAAAGATCATGGGTAGCCGGGAGGACAGTGGAGTGGTTATTTGGGTTTGTGGGAGACCTGTGTGGTGTCGGGGGCTGGGCTTAGACGGAGCCTGGTTAATGTCAGCTCTCAGGAGAGCAGCTGAGTAGGTGCTGCTGAGGCGCTGAGAGGAAGGGCAGGGTGCCTCCCTCCCCAGAAGGGACTCAGTGGTGGAAATGGGAGGGAAGGGCTCTCAGTTTGGGGGCTCTGGGGACAACTCCCCCAAGGCTTTTTGACCCTTCTTCACACATCCGTCTCCTAACTCTTGCCCACAGCCAGAGGGTCTGTGAGTCCTTGGTGGAACAATTTCCCAACCAGAAGATTTTCCTGCCTTCCTGGCTTGGAGATTTCTTTCTGGAAGAAGCCTGGAGCCCCCTAGAGCCCCCACTTTCCCTCTCGCATCTGGAGTCCTGAGGACTCCGTTGCCCCCTCCCCCATCTTTGCTGCAAACTCTTCCATCAGACCCGCTGTTCTGAGGCATGCTTGCTTTGCTCTGAAAACAGGCCAGGGGTCAGACGAAACTTCAAGCCACACAGAGTAGGACAGAACCCTTGGGAGGTCATTTGGGTCCCTTGCCTCCATGCAGATCCTACTCCCCGTTAGCAAAAGAGTTTTGTGTTTTGAAAACTTCCTAATTGCCTGGGGAGGCTGTGTGAGGCCATGCAAAGAGGGTGTGCTTTGGAGCTCATCAAATCCTAGGTCTTAATCCTAGCTCTGCTGCTTTCTGTTGTGTGGCCTTGGGCAAGTCACTTAACCTTCCTGAGTTTGTATCCTCAATCCTTACAGGTTTTATGAAGATTAGAGGTAAGGTATTTGAACATATTATATGCTCATTAAAGGAGAACTAGGGTAATTATTCTTCCTCTCTTTACTTCACAGCTTCCCTCACATTTCCTGCCCTGGCCTCCCTCCCATATCTCTTGGGGTCTAATCTCAAATGTCTTTTCCCCTCTCAGTCTCCTACCCACCAACTCCCAGATGCAGTTGGAGTATCAGGAGCAGTGTGAGGATGTAAGTTAGGCTTATCCTGATAGAGCTGAGAAAATGGAGTTAGGGTGTTCTGGGAGCTCTTTGGGATGTTGGGGCAGGGAGGGAGGGGGTTATTTGGGAGTCTGGGAAGGTACCAAGCAGCAGTCCCCTGTGACCAAGTTCTGAGACCCTGTCTGCAGCTGTTGGCAAGTAGTGGCTGTGCTGGGCCAGTGGCTGCCGGGGCTGAGGGAGATGAGGACTTGTGTCAGCTGTGGGTCGAAAAGTCAACTCTTTCAATTCCAAAGCAATAGGGCACTTTCCCTAAGAAGTGTGGGACCTGGGGGAAGTGGGGTACTGAGCAGGGAAATGTCTGGGGCAGCTGTTTCGATTAGCCCCATTTAGGGCCATTGCCAGACCAGGCATTTGTGTCCTGTTACATTGCCTGGGTACTTGGGACACTGGTCTGGATCACCCTCCACACCCCCTCCCCCACCCCACCCCCTTTGCCCTGAAATCACTGAAGTTCAGTGGTGGCCTGTGGGAGGGGAGGCTCTGCCCCCATGGTTGACTGCCATGGAATAGTGAAATCACCCGGGAGGGGTGGGCTGTGTGGTTCCAGAGAGGCCAGCTCCTTGGTAACTGGCATCCTGTTGCCATGGCAACAGGACCGGTGATGGAGCGAGAGATGGCAGTGTGCATGTGGTGAGGGCGGGCTGAAGAGTGCATTTGGGCACACCAAGGGGCAGGAGACCTCTGAGCCTGGCTTCCTGCTGCTTCCGTGAGCTTCCAGAGACCTTAGTGCCTGCTCTGTCAGAACAAGACTCTCCACTCAGACAAAGGCTGTCCTGCAGGGATGTGGGGTGAGGGAGGCAAAGCTCTGGGGACCAGACCTCTGACACCTCTCGTCCTTATCCACCTTGCCCTCCTCCCCATAGGTTCCAGGCAGAGGGTGGTTACGTGCTCTACCCTCAGATCGGGGACCGGCTAGACCTGCTCTGCCCCCGGGCCCGGCCTCCTGGCCCCCACTCCTCTCCTAATTACGAGTTCTACAAGCTGTATCTGGTAGGGGGTGCCCAGGGCCGGCGCTGCGAGGCACCCCCTGCCCCAAACCTCCTTCTCACTTGTGACCGGCCAGATCTGGATCTGCGCTTCACCATCAAGTTCCAGGAGTATAGCCCTAACCTCTGGGGCCACGAGTTCCGCTCACACCACGATTACTACATAATTGGTACTGCTGGGCAGCGGGCAGGGTCGAGTGGGGAGGTGCTCCTGGGATCGAGGGCAGATGAGGGAGGGGACCACTGGAGCCACCTCGGGTGGTGTTGGGGCCAGGCATGGAGACAGAATAGGTGTAGACTCTGGAGGGCCAACTTCTCCCTCTGGTTCTTCTCTCCCAGCCACATCGGATGGAACCCGGGAAGGCCTGGAGAGCTTGCAGGGAGGTGTGTGCCTCACTAGAGGCATGAAGGTGCTTCTTCGAGTGGGACAAAGTGAGTGGGGCTGGGGCACACCTCCTAGGGGCCGAGGGGCAGTACCATCGTGGTCAGGGGGCTGCTGTCTCAGCCCCTCTCTCGGCCCTTCCCCGTCTCCAGGTCCCCGAGGAGGGGCTGCCCCCCGAAAGCCTGTGTCTGAAATGCCCATGGAAAAAGACCGAGGGGTGGCCCACAGCCTGGAGCCTGGGAAGGAGAACACAGCAGGTAGGAACCAGGGGTCCAGCCTCCTGTCTTCCCTAGCCTCCTCTGCTCTCGGACCCCAGCTGCCCTAGCTTCACCCTCTCCCTCCCTCCCTCTTCAGTTTTGGGGGCAGTGATACAGGAAAGAGGAGAAGAGAGGATGGGAGGGTGGGAGGGGAATGGAAGCCAAATGAGGAAAAGACTCAATCAGAACTAATTAGCCAAGTCAGTGCTTCAATCAGTGCTGTCAGAGAAGGGGGGAGGACTCCTTGGCATGGAGCTGAAGGGCTGGACACACCTGGATTCCGAGTGGGGCTTGGACGGGAGGGGAAGTGGGGTCCCCAAAGGGCCTGGGCACTGCTGGGGAAACCCATGGGGACCCGCAAAGATGGGTGTCCAGATGCCCGGGTGGCTCCTTCAGCCCCACCCCCTCTTTCCTCCTTCACCCCTTCCCTGCCAGGTGACCCCACCAGCAATGCAACCTCCCGGGGTGCTGAAGGCCCCCTGCCCCCTCCCAGCATGCCCGCAGTGGCCGGGGCAGCAGGGGGGCTGGCGCTGCTCTTGCTGGGCGTGGCAGGGGCTGGGGGTGCCATGTGTTGGCGGAGACGGCGGGCCAAGCCTTCGGAGAGTCGCCACCCTGGTCCTGGCTCCTTCGGGAGGGGAGGGTCTCTGGGCCTGGGGGGTGGAGGCGGGATGGGACCTAGGGAGGCTGAGCCTGGGGAGCTAGGGATAGCTCTGCGGGGCAGTGGGGCTGCAGACCCCCCCTTCTGTCCCCACTATGAAAAGGTGAGTGGTGACTATGGGCATCCTGTGTACATCGTGCAGGATGGGCCCCCCCAGAGCCCTCCAAACATCTACTACAAGGTATGAGGGCTCCTCCGACCTGGCTCTCCTGGATCCAGCCCTTTGTGGGGTGCTCCTCCAGTTTAATTCATGGTTTGAGGGACACCTCTAGCATCTCCTTGGCCCCCTTTGCCCCCCAGCTCCTTTGCTCCTCCTGGCTCTCGCCTCTTCTCCACTTTTAGGATTCCCTAAGACATCCACCCAACGACCACCTGCCCTCTGGTTGGCTGTGTGTGCCCCTCTCTGTCTCTGTGTTCCTGGGTCCTATTCCCCTGGGGAGGGGGCAAAGATTCAGCCTCTTCGTCTAACCATGACCCAGGGATCCTTGTCCGCCTCACCCACTGAGAGCTAGGGGTGGGAACAGTCTGTCTTTTGGTCGGCACCTCTTTCTGCCTCTCACTGTTTTTCTCTTCTTTTCTCCTCTCTCTCTTATTTTCTGTCTCTCTCTTCTGTCTCTAGGTCTGTTCCTCTTCCCTAGCATCCTCCTCCCTGTACCTCCTTTTATTTACCCTCTTGGCTTCTTATCCTGTACCTCTCCCATCTCCAGGGTGGGGGCATCAAAGCATTTCTCCCCTCAGCTCCCTCTTCTGACTTCTCTTACCAACCGCTCCCCTCAGTCTGCCAAAAATGGGGGCCTTATGGGGAAGGCTCTGGCACTCCACCCCAGCTCAGGGCATGGGTAGCAGGGCCTCCTCCTCTGCCCTGCCCCGGGCCTCTACATACTTACTCCAGCCATTTGGGATGGTTGGGTCATGACAGCTACCATGAGAAGTGTCCCGTTTTGTCCAGTGGGCCAATAGCAAGCTATGAACCAGTCAGGACACATGTGGACTTGGTCTGATGCTGAATGGGCCACTTGGGACAGGAAGTGACTTGCTCCAGACAAGAAGTGACCAGGCCTGGACAGAAGTGGCCTGGGAAGTGGAAGCAGTGCAGCAGGAACTGGAAGTGCCTTCATCCAGGACAGGAAGTAGCACTTCTGAAATAGGAAGTGGTCTGGCTGGAACCGGAAGTGGCTTAGTCTGGGGGGTGGGGGGAGGTGGATGGTTCTTACTCTGTGGAGAAGGGCGGGCAGGAAGAACTTCCCATTTCAGGAGGAAGCTGGAACTTACTCTAAGAAGATCGGGTGGACTGAGGTTCTTCCTAGTATTCAGTGTCACGTGCCAGGATCTCCCTTCCCTTGTTCTCTGTGCTGCTTTTAGGACAGCTAAGGTGGCTGCCATCTGCCATGGCAGGCTCAATTTGTCTTGTTCTTCCCTTTCCATATCCCAGTATAATCTCTGTTACTCAACAGGATGACCCCAAGAACCCACGTGTTGTCCCCAGTAACCTGGATGGCTGTCTTGTTCATCACATTCTCCATTTCCTACTCCCTTCAAACTCAACACAGCTCCCTTCTTAGTGACCAAAATGGTGGCCTACTGACTGGTCTAGCTGACAGTGGTCCTTAGCAACAGCCAGTCTTTCCATAGTGACCAGCTGATACCTCTTCCTGCCCACTAGTGCACAATTGGGTGTTGCCTCAGTTTCCTCCCAGCTCATTTCCTTTAGGTCAGAGCTGCCTTTGGGCACCACGTCGGCCACCTCAATCACCAGCCAAGATGGTTGCTTTGTCCACCAGAGGTCAAGCTCTCTCTCTGGTGCTGTAGTTCCCAGCTCCTTCTTGATTTTTCTAATCGCTCCTTCCAGAGAACAGGAAGTTGATATTGCCATGGGGGAGGTGGCGGGGTGTGGCCGTCACCTCAATAGTTTTACTGTAAAAGGGAAATTTGAACAACAAAAACCAAAAAAAAAAAATAAAAAACTTCAAAAGTTGATGAGAATGACTGGATGTGAATTGGGGCAGAGAACTGGTGATTAGAACAGCTTTCCAGCTGAGTGTTGAATTGCATGAAACCAAGGGGTAGGGAGGGGGTTGTGTTGGATGGGTGAGGTGGACAGGGCCTGGCTGGTGGAGGGGGGTGTGGTCATGGGCTGGGCGAGGAGGCTGAGGAAAGCAGCCCCTGCCAGGGGAGGGAGAGAGGAACCCAGGTGGCAGTGGGTTGCCAATACATCCAAATGGGGCTGTCTGTGAATATGCGTTCACTCACGGGGGAAAGCCCAAGTGTCTATTGCTAAACCAAGTATCAGATTCAAGGCAAGTCTCGGTCGGAAACAAAGTGGAAAAAACATGCTCACGTGTTCAATCTATTCCCTCCCACTCCTGCCCAAGGCACTCCTGTGCCCAGAAGACTCAGGGATCCAGGCATCAAGCTGCCTATCCCGTGGCTCCCTGTGTACCCATAACCCAGGCTGTTCTCCCCCTAAAACCCAGATGCCCAGTCCCCTAGACTCAGCCCCATTCTCCAACCACAAAAGCAGCAGTGAGGAGCATCGCTGCAGCCAGTCGGTGGGGGTCACAACCTCTGACCTGCCTGCCCCTCCCCTGACTTTAGGTCCCCTCCCGCTGTCTCCCATCTGCCTGGAGGTCAAGGGGTCCTCCTGCCCCTCCTCTGTCCAGTGGGATCCCTGCCCCTCCCCCTGTCTGAGCAAGATGCCTGGGTCCCGAGAGGTGCAGGCACTGTAGGAGGGGAGTTGAAAACTGGGAGGCCAGGTGCTGGGCTGTCTGGCATTTACTCCTGCCTTCTAAGCCCACACTGGAGCTGCCCGAGGTGGGGAGGCTGGAGGGGGTGTGGAAGGGCTGGTTCCTGCCCCTTAGTGGGGGTTGGTTGTCATGGCAACATCCCCTCTTCACACAATGGGAAGCCCCCCTCAGCCTCCCGCGTGGATGGAGCCGACAGCCCCATCGCTGGCTATCAGCCTCAGGGACTTGGCAACCGTCACTATGGCAACCCAGAGCCCAGCAACAGGGCCCAGTTGAGAGAGGGAGGGGTCCACAACTGGGGCAGGGCTGTGTGTGCAAGGGGGCAAGGGAGCCAAGGAAGACTCCCCTACACGTATATCCAGAGGCACAGGTGGAGAGAAGAGAGGGAAGAGAAGTGGGGATAAATAGTCTCCGTGACAGACAAACATCTCACCAAAGCAACCGAGACATCATAACATGCTGAGAGACAGGAAGACACCTGGGGACAGATGCACAGCTGGGGAGAGGAACAGCACATTCTGCACATTACCCTGGGACACACCCCTTCAGAGAACTGGCATCTATAGACTCTTCTCTCCCCAGACATTAACAATGCAAGATCTAGAGCCTTCCACATGTGTAGTGATCTTTTGAGCTATTTGAAAGCTCAGGTGACTTCCACACAGAAAAACACATGCCATCCTATTCGCTTTCTAGGTACAAACACACAAACACACTCCTAGGGTAACAAGTACAACAAAGCAAGAAGAGGTGCAGGAAGACATTCATTCATTCATTCATTCATTCACTCAGCATCATATTAAATGTCTGCTTTGTTCCAGGTACTATTTCAGGCACTGGTAGTATGAGGTGAATAAGGCAAAGCCCCCGCTTTCATGAAATCCACATTTTGGTGGGGAACAACATAATAATATTTCTGGTAGTGATAAGTGATATAAAAAAACAGAGTGAAGAGGATGGAGAGTATCAGGAAGATGCTTTAAGTTAGGAGGTCAGGAGGGTCCCTCTGAAGAGGTGACATTTGTTCAGGACCTTGAATAATGAGGAGTATGGAAGGCAGGCACTATGGGGAAGGGCAGAGCAGAAAGACGGAACAGCAAGTGCAAAGCATACAGGTGAAATCTCAACAGGCTTGGGAATAGTGAGAAAGACATCTCAACCACACACATGTTCTAGATGCGTCCTGTCTTTCCCCAGCCTCAGCGTGTAGGGTAGCAAGTGACCAAGGAAGAATCCACATTTAGGAAGTTGATCTAACTCCGTCTTCCATTTTTTCCCCTTTGTTTCTTTCTTTCTTTCTTTTTTTTTTTTGACCTAAAAACATGCTTTTTTACTTCATTATAATAAACACAAAGAAATCAGCACACAAAATACATTTCCAGACAAACACACCAGTTTTATAGAAAAAGATATAAACATTTACTTTAAGGTCTGGGGCGGGAGGGGGTCCCCTTTGTTTCTTGTGTGGATGTGAGCTGTGTTTTCCTCAACTAAATTTTATGCTCTGGGAGGGCAGGGATAATGCTCTGAGATTTTGGGGCTGTGGTACAGCTGCTGGTACAGAGTCTAGAGCAGAGTGGGAATAAAGGATCTGAGAGAGCTGGGGACCACAGAACGTAAACCCAGCATAGGATGGAGGCTGTCCTGGGGGCTGTGCTGCAGACAGAAGCTCACACTTTTCCATCCTTCCAAACAGAAGCAGGGTGTAAATTAGGTTGAGGTATGTATGTTTGTGTCTGTGGTCTATGTTTAGGATTTTAAGAAAAGGAGAACAGAACAGTTGCAGTGGGAATTTCTGATGGGGAATGGTTGACATCCCAACTGGAAATGTAGTTAGAATGAAAAACAGAGCTTCCTAAGTGGAGTCACAAACATGGGGCATCCCCTTCCCTAGAGAGAGTTTCAGGATCTGTAGGCAGGCTGGGAGAAATGTGGCAGGCTGGTTTGGAGGCAGGGGGCTAGCTGGGATGGGCTCAGAGAGTTGGGTGGGGGTAGGGAAAAGGATACAGAATAAATGGGAGTGAAAACTCAGCACAGGAGAGATGTTTGAAAGGCAGCAGCAAAGGTGGAGTCCTGTAGGGAGTTCTGAGGGGACCAGGTCCTAGGGTCCCCTGATTCCCAGAAGGAATCGAAGCATTCCACGGCCTGGCTCTCCCACTTCCCTCAGTTGCCATCAGAAACTCAGGCATCAGCTCCCTCCGATCCAAGTGGCTAGCGGTGGTGGTGGGGAGACTCGGCAGCCTCAGGGGGCGGCAGCTGGTGAGTGGGGAGGAATCTGTGTGCTCAGCAAACAGCAGCCTCGGTGCCCAGTGGCTGCTTCCTCCCTCATCAATCAGCCCAGCCAAATGTCCTTGCATTCCCACCACCCCAAGGGGACTGGGGCTGGGCCAGGGTCCCCAGGGGAGTGAGATGGGATGGGTGGGGGCAGGGGGGTTGGTGCTTGGCTCCCCATCTCTTGGCCTCTGTTCTCTCCCCTCCTGGACGCTCTCGGCGGCGGTTCGTGTCATGGAACGGACTCCCTCCCGGTGCTACCATCGTGAGGGCATCAGCTACAAATCACCTGTGGGGGTCTGCTCGTGGCGGGGGGGTGCGGGGGGAAGAGGGATGAGTCAGGGCTGAAGAGGAATCTACTCTGGTTCTCACGGGACCGGCCCCGGGCACATTCAGCAGGGAGGCTGCTGGCACAGGGGCTCTGCGCCCCCCGCTGGCCTCTCCATCCCTGACGGATGCTCTGGACAGCAGGTTGAGACCTGGACCACAGAAATGTCCTCCCTCTTCTCACCTTTTCCTAGCCCCCAGCCCTAATTCCCCACTTCCCACCACAATCCAAAGGGCCAGCCCCCAGCTCACCCTAAATCTGCTGCTCCCCCTTGGGGACTGGGGCCTCCAGACCTTAGCCTCTGGCTCACTCTCCCCCTCCTCAGCCCTTGCTCCCCTCAGGGACCCAGGCGTCCTGCCCACTCCCTTCACCATAACAACCATTCTTTTGGATTTGCTTAAGACTTTAATATCATTTCATTAAGTCAGCTAGTTCAGAGAAGGTTGGGGGCACAAAGAGACTGGGGTGGGCAAAAAAGGGCCAAGGTAGGGGGGAAGCAAGGGAAGAGCTCCCTCTCTCCGTGGAGATGGCTCTGAGAAATCAAATATTGACAGTGAGAGAACAGAACTTATTAAAGCTGGACAGGGGTGTGTGTGGGGAGCTGTGGGAATGGCCGGATGCCTGGGTTCTGAGAGTAATGAAGGTTCTGGGAGGAGGGAGTGCCTGAGGCCAGGAGGATGCAGTGAGATGAAGGGTTCTGTCGTACAACCCTTCTGCCCATTTCCTTTGCGAGGTACTGAGTCTTGCTACCCTGGCTGTTTCTCAGAGCTCCTAGACAGCTTCTCTAGCTCTCCCCTAGAGTTCCTGGGGACAAGACCCCCGTCACAGCTGTGGCTGCCCCCCTTTTCATCCCTTCTCCCTACCTCCACCTCTGTTGATGAGCTTCAGTGGCGTTTAATCGGATTGAGCAGTAATTAGCAAAGCAAGATGTTTGATTACCTATTTAGCATAATGTAGGGGGCTGGGATTCCTAGGCACAGCCAAGGCCAGTGGGGGTGGGGGGTGGTTCAGAAAAGAAATGGGGGCTACACAACATTCCTTTCCCTGAGGGAGCCATGAGCCCCGCCTATAAGTCTCCCCATCCTGTGCCTCCCCTCAAATCTTCACTCCTCTGGGACTTTCTCCCTGGGGGATCTGACCAATCATGTCACCCCTCTGCCACCCACTGCCTAACTGGTTTGAGGATCACCCACTTAGCCCTGCTTGCTGTGCAGCTGATTTTGGGGTGTGGCAGGACCCCTCTCTCCTTCAATCCTTGCCCTCAGCAACAGGAATGTGGGCTGGGCAGGAGCTCAGAAACCTCCTTGAAGGATAATGGGGGGGTGCCAAGGGCAGGGGTTGTCAATTCTGGAAATAAAAATGGGGTAGGTAGGATGGTGAGGTCAGAGCTGGGCTCAGGCCCTTCAGGAGTACCAGGGACTGCCAGTCCTTGCCCTGCCAGACTGGCATAATGAGACTCGTCAGGTGTGAACATCAACCAGGAAAAGGGGGAACTGAGGTGCCAGCTTCTCTCCTCCAGCAAAGAAAATGTCATCAATTTAGCTCCTCATGGAAATGTAATCAGTGGGCTCGCTGCGGGCTTTGTCTTAATTAGGCACTATTGATGGAAGCAGGGAGGGTGCCTTCCCATCCCCCTGACTCGCTTC